GGCGCCTTTTTCTTCGTCTTTCCTGACGAGGGGCACTCTTCCCAGTTCTTCAATAACTCGTATATATTTCTGCATCGCTACGCTTACGTGGAGGACCTCGATGATCAGCCTTACCGTTGAATAGATCTCTCCACTTTCCCCACGGGTCATCCTTCTCGAGCCATCTTCGATGCCCCATGTACATGATTTTCAAAGACCCGCCATCTTTCGATAGCTGCAGAGAAGTTGTATCATCCATGCACCTCATGCATCCGCAATATCTGGGTGGCACACCTGGCCGGAGAGATAGCCGTAACCGAGATAGTCCTGCACCGTCGCGATCAACGCGGCTCTCATGTAAAAATACTCTCCTTTGCTTGCATCCCATGTCTTGGCCGACATTTTCCATAAGGTATGTAGCTCCTCTTTCAGTAACCCGAGATACAGATTTATATCATTTCCCGGTTGTCTCGGCCCTTGAATAAGCATAGCCATGTGTATGTATTTTTCCTTCATGCACAACCAGGGGGAGGTTGTACATCCATACAAACACGGGCCATGTGCTATGATTGGTGTTCCGGTTGCCAAATGGATTCATGCCATCACTACTAGCGCCAAGCACGATGTTCCTTGGATCATTTGCGAAAAAATCAAATTCAACATTTAATGCTCTCCACTGGCTAGCATCTTCGAGGTGTCTCAGCTTCGGCTCATCTTTGTCATCTGGCTTCACCCTCTCTGCATGCTAGCGCATAAGCTTTGCTTCCTTAGGATCTAAGAAATACCGCTGTAGACACGGAGTGATCGGAAAGTACCATACAACTTTCTATGGAGCTTTCTTTCCAGCCTTTTTATATCGTGAAGCATTGCACTTTGGACAGATGGTTTTTTCCGCGTGCTCATTCCGATATATGATGCAATCATTGATGCATGTGTGATATCTAATGTGTGGCAGATCAAGAGGGCACACGATTTTCTTTGCCTCCTCGACACTAGTAGGACACAGGCTTCCCACGGGAAGAACCTTATTTAGGTACTTCAGAAACTCATCCAGGCTTGTATCCGTCCATTTGTTTTTTGCCTTCGTCTTTATAAGTTCTAGTGTGAAACTCAAGCGGGCCACCTCGGGATTGCAACCATCATACAAAGGAGTCATCGAGTCTACCTCTAGTTGCGCCAGTTTGGCCTCCTCTCTTGAAGCAGCTCTGTAGCTAGTCGTCTTCTTGTGAAGCAGGTCTCGAACATGCGGGTCCCGCATGGCTAAACTTAGTAGCGACGAAGACGGCGGCGTGTCCACGTCTTCTCCGCCTTGAACTGCCTCTTCACCATCGACATTTCTGAGGCCGTCTTCCTCTTCGGGCACATAATCGGTCATCTGTTCGTCTGGTGGCCCCATGTCATTATTTCCTGCCCTGTCGATGTCCTTCTCCTCCTCCTCATCATCATCTTCACTTATCCACCGAGTATGGCCATGCATGAAACCATGCATGAGCAGGTGCGCCTTGAATTTACCACCCTGAAAGGGGTCGAGCCTGACTCTTCCTTTGCATTTTCGACATGGACATAAAACATCCTTCAGTCTTTTTCCATACATGTCATCCACAGCGGATTGCCAGTATCTTTCCACCATCCTTACATTGACCTTCATGATCACCTACGCGCGGAGCAAATATTATAACCATGTATATATGCATGCATGGATCAAATTCATACAAAAATTCGGCATGACCTTCCCTAAACATAGGACATATTGAGTTTGCCCGAAATTCGCCGAAACAGAATTGAATCGATATTTCGGCAAAACATAGGCAACTCATGTCACTCACATGCCACACACAATTCGGCATATTCATATCGCACATAGTTTCGATCCTAATCGCAAACACACATATTTCCATTCTTGCACAACTCTTTTTTTTGCTCACCTATTTGTCGAGAGGGATATCGAGCAACTTCTTATAATTAGCTAGTAGCTCTAGATAGTGAGGTACGTACATAAATATAGCTCCAACTAGCTAGGGGGGAGAGAGAGAGCTATGAGAGGGAGGAGGGAGGGTATTAATGGATGGGGTGGTGGAGGGGCAAAGAAGAGAAGGGGAGAAGGGGCAAAAGAAAGGAAGAGGAAGGAGGGAGGGCATTAATGGAAGGGGTGGTGGAGGGGCAAAGAAGAGAAGGAGAAGAGGGGCAAAAACAAGGAAGAGAAAGGAGGGAGGACATTAATGGACGGGGGGGGGAGGGGCAAAGAAGAGGGGAAGCATTGAAGAACAAGCAAGTGCAAGAGGGAAGGGGGAGAAAGAAAGGGGGAGGAAGAAGAGGGGGGGGGGAAGGTGGCAGATATTTTGGCTGGCGACCATAGCACTAGCGCGGGGCACCAAAGCGCGCTACTGCTATGTGTGCCAGCCAAAATATCTAGTGGTACATAAAACTAGCTATAGCGCTTGCCCAAAAAACACGCTACTGGTAAAAGATTACACATAGAAGAATTAGCAATAGCGCTTCTTTGTGGACACGCGCTACTGGTATTTTCTTAATAGTAGCGCTTGTTAGGGTGCCAACGTTGCTACTATTTTTTGGCCGGGGGGTGTGGTGTGGTAACTTACCAGTAGCGTGCCCCCAAGAAACCAACGCTGCTGCTAAGTTGTACCAGTAGCGCTGTTTGTAACACACGCTACTGGTAATTATCAGTAGCGTGGTCTCCAAAACACACACTACTGGTAAACTCTATGTATAAGCCTTTTCCTAGTAGTGTTCTCTGAATCTCGACGGTACGACGCCTACGAGCCATGGCGAGGGGGTAGGGTCCTTCTTCGATGACAGAGAAGGAAGTTGTTGTTTTCCCTCCTTCCCTAGGTGCTCCTGGCGCAATGTCCATCTTCGATGGCCGGCTTTATAATGTCCTGATGTTCCGTCCTTGATTTGTAGGATAATAATGTGGAGCATTCTGCCTCTAACAAGCTGTAATCTTCATTTTCCTTTCTTAAGTTAGCTTGTATAGGATGTGGTTTTGGTTTGTTTCCCAGCGTTTCACTTTGTATCAGTTTGGTCGTCGTTCCGTGGGTCGTATGATGTAACTTTTGGCCGGTTGATGGCTTTGTCAATTCAAAGCCGGACTTTTTGCGAGCATTCGTTCCCTCCAAAAAAATGTACGGAGAAAAGGGGCCTTCCTGACCCTAAACTGTTGTGAACTCTTCCGTAGTACATACTTGAATTGAATCTTAATCTAATTTTTACCATCCTTTTGTTCACGGGCGCTCGGGTGGAAGTGGAACACACCGTTTCCCTAGACTAATTGACCACAGGTCGTCGTATAGCGGGAGTGGCCTCCATCTCCATCCCTTGTTATCGGGAAGACAGCACATGAGACAAGACAAGAGGAGGCGCCGGTACTTCCTTGGATTCATGACTTAGGGCATCTCCAGCCGTTGGCCCCCCAAGAGGAGCAAAAAATCGTCCCTGGGGCGCACCGGCGCTAAACCGCGCATTGGGGGCGTGATGCCCTCCAGTCGCGGCGCCCACCGTTAGTCAAAAAAGTCAAATACGGCGCAAAAACCACTCAAATTTAACGCAAACATCGGCGAGTTCGTTCAAACTTAAACATATTTTACAAAAAAAAAACTACCGCGGGCTACCCCGCCGTCTCCTCGCCGCCCGCCTCGCCGCCCGCCCACGCGGTTGTAGTCACCGCCGTCGTCGTCATCGTCGTCGTCGTCGTCGCCGCCCCCGCCTACGCCTCCGCCGTCCCTGCTGCATCCCTCCCCCGGTTGGCGCAGCGGGGTGGACGGTCCGGGGGCGTCGTCGTCGTCGTCGTCGTCGCTGTCGAGGACCACGACGCCGTGCTCGTCCTCGCGCCCACGCTTGCGGGCGGCGATCTCCTCCAGAGCCCGGCGCTGCCGGACCGTCTCGTCGCGGAGGTAGTCGTCCCGCGCCCACCGCTTGGCGTCCTCGTCAGAGAAGCCGCGCCGGGCTATCTCCTCGTACTCCGCGGGGAGGCCGGGCTCCGGCTTGGGGCGACGAGGACGAAGCGGCCGGTGGGTGGAGAGGCGTTGGCGCCGATGCGGACGCCGGAGCTGCGGGTGCGCGCGCTGACCGGCGTGCCCTGGGGCTCCGGCTTGACGGGGCGGAGGCAGGGCGAGCCGCGGACGAGGAGGAGGACCCCCCGGTCTCCATGCGCCTCGGGGCCCAGGAGCTTCCCCGGCGGCGTGAGAAGGAAGGGGGAGCGGGGTACTCGAGGCGCGGCGTGTTGCCGCCCTCGATGTACTCGAGGACGGCCTCCAACGTGCGCCGGGGCACGCCCCACCACCGACGCCATGGGCGTGAACTGGAGACGGCGAAAGAGAGGAGAGGAGAGGGAGGAACGACGACGGCGGAAGAGTATGAGTCGCCGAGTGCGCCGGGGCGCGTCATATATAGGCCGAGGCGCCGCCCGCGCGCGTGTCACCGTGTGTACGCGTGGCGGGCGAGGGAGGGCGAGGGACGCGCGTCGTCCGGTCTTCACTGCGCCGCCCGTGAGGCATCAATGGCGCAGGCTGACCGGCGCGGCAGCGCGCGACAGCTTTGGCATTGATTCGCCGCGGGAAACGAGGCGATGAGGACGACGAAGGGCCGAGAAGAGAGCCGTGTCACTGACGCGGCGGGCCCGCGGCTTTTTCGCGCCAAAACAGTTCGCCCGGCGCCCCCGGACGCCCCCAGCGCGCTGGGTTCGGGCTGGATCCGCCGGCGCTATTTTCGGCCCAAGCCGGCGAAAATCGGGGTCATGAGGCGCGACTGGGCAGTTTTTTCGGCGCCGGCGCGAAAAAAAGGTATGGGAAGGCCTTCCTGGGTGCGGCTGAGATGCCCTTACCGACCTACTCCGCTGCGCCGCCTCCGGTCATCTCTCAAATTTGGGACTATCGCACTGGCGACGGAGGAAAGCATGTGCGTCCCGTCTCGTCGTGGCAAACGGAAGCGAAATCAAAGCCTCACTCTGTTTCTCTGCGCCCTCTCCCTCACCCTTCTCTTAGGCTTAGCCTTGTTTGGCTGTAATGGCTGGACTGGAGGACCTGAAGCGGAGGCTGCAGCCCATCTTCTTCGACGCCGATGGCAATGTTGTGCCGCCCCCCGCCGCCGACGGGACGTCCGACGACTCCAGCTCTGACGACTGCGAGGTAACCACTCTCTTCGTTTCAGCCGTTTGGTCAGTTCGCTGAGATCTATGTTTATCTTCATTCTGTTCAACCAACAAAATTCCTTGCTTATGTTGCTCATACTATGTTTTTTCTTAAGCCTGCTATAAAAATATATATGATGCTCATATTTTAATCTTACTTTTGTAAAGGTTTTGGATGGTGGAACTGTCAATTTATTGAGTAGGTCCTCTGATGAATATAACATCAGTAAGCTTGGCTTCCATAAACGAACAACCAGACCAGATGGGGACTATGCTACAGATAAGGCATATCGATGTTCTTGTCATGATATGCATATTTTTGATTCTGTTGGTAATGGTGCAAGCAGCGTTGTCTATAGAGCTATTTATGTACCAGTCCATCGAGTTTTGGCACTCAAGAAAATCAACATTTTTGACAAGGTGAGTGCAAAAAAATTTATAGTCCATATGCCATAAGCTGACATCTCTATGTTCCCCTTACATGAAACAAAATCTATGGATACCCTTCTTTTTTAAAATTAACTTTCACATGGAACTACAAGTGTCGAATTCATAGCTTATTCTCCAATTAATGCCTATAGTACTCCAGTATTAGTTGGAAATTGTTTGAACCAAGCTGCAGCAAGTAGAACCAGAAATGCAGCAAGTACTATAGACATTTTTTGGACCAAGCTTATTCTCTTTATATTTATTATAACGTATTCTCTGATATATATCACAGGAAAGGAGACAACAGATTCTTAATGAGATTAGAACGTTATCAGCAGCATCTTGTTATCCAGGTTTAGTTGAATTCCAAGGAGTTTTTTACACCCCGGACTCTGGAGAAATATACTTTGCTCTTGAGTATATGGATGGTGGTTCATTAGCAGATATTATCAGGGTCAAGAAATTCATAACAGAACCAGTTCTTTCACATATGCTACAGAAAGTGTTGCTAGTACGTGCCTCTTGCCACCGTATGTTCTGATGTTAGCTCTATTCAAATCAGGCCTGTGAAATTTAAGTGACTAGTTGGTCTGTGTTAATTTATTAGGCTCTGCGCTACTTGCATGAAGTGAGGCGTTTAGTTCACAGAGATATAAAGCCAGCAAATTTGCTTCTAAATCTAAAGGGTGATACGAAAATTACAGACTTCGGTGTAACTTCTGGACTGCATGATTCAGTTACCATGGTATGCTACTTCTTGGTGACCGAAACTTCTCTTAGCAACATCATGCTGTTCTAAATAGTATTAAGTGGACATCTGAGTATCTAGATTGAATAAGCAGTATATATGTGTAGTAATTGTCTTCCAGTGTGCTACCTTCCTGGGCAGTGTCACATATATGTCCCCCGAGAGAATTCGGAACGAAAATTACTCATATGCTGCTGATATCTGGAGCCTTGGACTAACAGCATTGGAGTGTGCAACTGGAAGATACCCATATGATGTAAATGGGGGCGAGGCCGACCTCATGCTGCAGGTGAGGTGGTTGGCGGTCAAGCAGTGTTCATTTGTATAATTTTCTACTGCCTTTCATGATCATCTTATTTATGGAAAGAATAATCATGATCTCATTTATGTGTATCTGTTGGTATATTGTTGATTAAAGCTGTTTTCGGAATTTGGTTTGTTTTTCGTAGGCGTTCTACATCTGTTTTCCGAATTTCTACTGGATTTAGAACTTCTATTTCATTTCTGCTTTCCAACATGAATGGTCTGACAATAATGCAATACTAGTTCGGTAGTTCCTCTTGTGAGTATTATATTATTGATGTATAATGCAATCCTCCTTTCCCACCTTACTGTGTTGCAGTCTTGCAGATATTGGAAGATCCATCGCCAACACCGCCACAACATATGCATTCAGAAGAGTTTTGCTTGTTCATCGATGCTTGCTTGCAGAAAGATGCTGATGCAAGACCAACATGTGATGAGGTAAAGTGACGTCTAGTACAATTAATGTTTTTCAAGAGAAACGATACGAGGGTTTCCAACTGCGTAAATCTTGTGATAATCTTTATTTATTATTTAATTTTTGCGGGGAGTGATAAACTTTATTATGCAGTAAGTATAGGATTTTGCAACACTATCTGAGAGTAAAGTCTGATGGATGTTTCAGCTCTTTAGTCAACAGATTAGCGGTCTGAGGTGATAATTTCAAAAAACCGGTCTCATATGTTGAATTGTTTTACAAATTATTCATTGTCAACTAACTACATAAATAGGTTATTTGCAACAAAGACGAAATGGGGTTTATTTTGCTCTCTGAAATAAAAAAAAAATCTTATTTGAATCACATACTGAACATCTTGTAGCTTTTGTCTCATTCCTTCATCAAGAAATACGAGGGACCTGGTGTGGACTTGGCAGAGTACAACAGAAGTGTTCATGATCCAGCAGAAAGATTATCACAAATAGCACATGTGAGTTCCTAATAGCTTTCGTTAGCTTATATTTTTCCTGTTCTGCTGCCTTTCCATATGGAGGAAAATGAACCTGATGTTCGGCAAGTTCACATACAATGATGTTAGCTATGCTTAGACAATAGAACATTCCGACAATTCAACAAATAACTGACTCTTACTGCAGTTGTTTCAATCTTTTGAATCTGGTTTCTTGCTATCCGGGATTCAAAATTCATGTTAAAAATTTTGACCTCGTTGAGGATTTCGTTTGCCACAAGCATAGTTTAAAAAACCGGACCGGGCCAGCGGTCGGAGCGGAAAAAAACTGAACCGGCGGACTTGGCGGTTTTTGAAGCTAGAAGACCATTCTGCAATTGGACCGGAGAAAACCAGTCAAGCCGGCCGGTTTTCTGGAAAAAAACGCTGAATAAACCAGGCCTTTGAACCGGAAAAACCAGGAGAATGTTTAATGTAGAATTTGGGAGAAGCGGGATTCAATCCTAGGATGCGTGAGTAGTAGGCATTGCGAGCTCATGGTCCAATAACCAACTCGGACGTGCTACTTTGTTGTCTATTATAGGGAAGTAATTTTATTTGACCATTGTTTAACACTGTTTCATTTGGCCATTGTCTACTAAACGTATATTATTTTATGGTAAAAAACCGATGTTGAACCGGTGAACCGGCGGTCCAACTGATGAAAACCTGAACCGACAGGCTCACAGGTTCGATCTTCGGTGCAGTTTTTAAAACTATGGCCACAAGTATATCTCAGAAAAAGAAACTGGAGCTGGGAAAACGTGATTTGTGGTTTTGCTATCCATGGAGTGGGACGAATTTACAGGAACTTTGCCGCTGCCAAGTCACTTACCGTTTCGCTTGAATATACTCGGCCCTAAACGTTTCTCCCCTCGAATATGAGTGCGCCCGTCGTGCTCACGCGGCCGCTGACCTCAGTTACAGCCGCTTCGCCGCTGCTCTCTTCACCTCCAACCACTCTTGAATAGTCTTTCACCCCGCTTTATAGATAAAGCAACCACCATTTCCACACAAGTAGTTAAAGTGCAGGAAAGTAAATAGAAGATCTGCTGGGGCACAAATAAGCCCAAAAGCAAAAAAAAAAGGCGGCACAAGACTCCGCAGAGTTAAAAGATCAACGGATAGGGTGCGAAGCGAGTTGGCGGACTGCCACCAGAAGATCATCAATCATGCCGTCTAGCCGGTCCCTGTCCCGCTGCCTACAAAGCGGGTACCACTGCCGCAAGAAGGCCAAAATTTTAAACACAAAGTCAGAAGCACACTGCAAGAAGACTCGCTTGATAACCATCTTGTCACGTACAGTCCATTGGGTTCAGGTAATCACTGCGAACACTAACCTGAAGAGGCGCCGCCTCCTACCGGTATGTTTGGCCTGAGCCTCCAGGAACTCGCTCAGGTCCGGCGCCTGCCACTCAAGCCCTAGAGCCTCACGGACAAAGTCCCACAAGGAGGCAGCGGGACGAGAGAAGAAAATGTGGGTCCCGGATTTGGGAACCACACAAAGAAGGCTAAGGCCATCACCCGGCCCATGCCGCTTCACCACCTCCAAACCCGATGGGAGGCGATTATAGAGCAGCTGCCAAACAAAGATTTTGATCTTCAGAGGCAGCGGAGCTTTTCACAAGTGGGAGGTACACACAAGGGTCGACGCACAATAGAGGGCACGGTATGCCAACCCGGCAGAGAAGAGCGCCGAGAAGGTGACTGTGCCAAGACACGATGCCCGGGGACCTCAACAGCGATGACGGAAGAGCCGTCCGCAACTCGGTCTAGGCTAAGGTTTCCTTTGGCCGAATGTTCGTTGGAACGGGATGTCCCAATTCCCATTGTGGGCCGCCGAGGCTACCAAGAGCACCGGATCCGAGCAAATCATGAAATGGCCCAGGAATTCGGCACGCAACGTGGTCCTACCGAGCCACGGGTTGAGCCAAAAGAAGGTACCCTTTCCATCGCCTATGGAGAATTGATACCCAAGTGAATCTCATGCTTGATCGACTGGAGGGATTTCCAGAACTGAGATCCTTCCCAACGGTCAAAAGCCAGGAGAGGATGGCCCTGCAGGTGTTTGGCTTTTATAAGCTGCAGCCATAGGCCACCCTCGTCCCTAAGGATCCGCCACACCCACCTCAGCATGAGTACCACATTTGAACTGCTCCCAGGGCAGCAGAAGTGTGGTCCCTGTTGACGTATAAATGTATTGCCTAGTCTCTTCCATTAGATTGGTCTTTTGGTTGCATTGACTAGAGCATGCACTTCTACATGGTATCAGAGCCAAGCGGTCTTGAGTTCAAGACCCTTGCAGCCCACTTCCGGTCCACGTTTAGGCCCGAGGGAGCCACACGTGAGGGGGAGTGTTGACGTATAAATGTATTGCCTAGTCTTTTCCGGTTTTTTGGTTGCATTGGCTAGAGCATGCACTTCTACACTCTCCACGGTGGAGCACATCCAAACCGGAAAAGAGAGAAGAAAAAAGGAGGTGGGCACCTGCACGAACCACAGGTTGCTGCTCCCGCGCTGGAGCACATTGGAACCCGAAAGGAAAAATGAAGGTGTGCTTCCATCGTGGTGGAGCACATGAAGTTGTGAACCTTAGGTTCATTTCAGATATGGCTGGTAAATTTGGTTACACTTGAAGTTGTGAACCTTAGGTTCATTGATCTATGTGTAGTAAAAGATCAAGTACTTTCTGAAAAAAGAATGTAGGCCTCCTCGTCTAAGTGTATAACCTTTTGACCGAAATGCTGTTTCCTGACTACAGGCAAACCAGTACTCACTTTGATATTGAATATGTGATCTGCCTTTGATACCCTTAGTTTTGAAGGAAGGGTATTTCTTTTCCGTATATTGGTACTCAATGGTAAGTTCCTTGCTTGTTGCTTGAATCATAGGCAGATGTCTGAGTGCATGTTTACTTTAATACATTAGCCAGAGATATAAAGTTTGGTAGCGTTAGTTAGGTCAACTACTCATCTACATGACTTACGGCCATTGTTATGTTTATTGCAGATGCTTGCTGTACATTACTACCTGATCTTTGACGGTGGTGATGACCAATGGCATCACATGAAGTCATTCTATGGACAAGATTCTACTTTCAGGTAGAGGAATATCTTGGGCTATGTTTCTCTCGTAGTAACCAATCCGTTGCTGTATTTTCCTGTTGTGCAAAATACCTTAGCTTCCACTGTTGCTTGGATCGCATGTCTTTATTATGCTTGGCTCCGGAACTATAATTGAACTTTCTTTCGTGTTATTTTACATGAATTGTGCAGACTTATTGACATGATATTTTTATTCTAGTTTCTCAGGGGAAACACATGTCGGTAAGAGCGACATATTCGATACTTTGTCAAGAATAAGGGAAATGCTAAAAGGTAACAGCCGTTGCGAGAAGATTGGCCGTGTGATGGAGAAGGTTTACTCGTGCACATGGGGAAGAAGGGACGAGTGTTCGAGTTTCTGGATCATTCATTATGGGGAACGAGTTCCTTGTGTGCGCAGATGGGTTTTGTGCTGAAGGGATGCTAAGCATCGTCGAACTCTCTCCCGACATTCTCAGCAAGCAGGCAGGCCATTTCCAGGAAGATTTTTTCATGGAGCCAGGGACTGCCATGGGATGCTATGTGATATCAAGGCAAGAATTGCACATTGGCGTATCATGAAGTCATTCGCCTTCTTGCATGCAATCATTACATATGATGATTTTTGTGCTTTTTACTGCCGGGCATTTGCTGAACCGATCTATCATGCATGTTATCTTTCCATTTTATGCTGAAGAAAATAATCTTCTAGCATATCGACATTGAGGTATTGGAATCTATTCAGTTGAGCCTCAACACAGTCTACAATGAACTGATAACATCGGTTATTGCCTCTCTGCATTCAGCATTTACGCTTGTAAGTTGAATGACGGGGAGACATTTAGATGACGGGGAAAAGCTTTCCCATGCTATGAACTGCATATGTTAGATATACGACAGTGATTTTTTCTATTTTCCTTACGAAAAGGAGCGTGTAACCCAGCCTCTGCATTTGCCGTACTATCATCTTTATTAAATTATCAAGCAAATCATCCAAACAGCTAGCGTTAAAAACACTCTTATATTATGGGATAGAGGGAGTAGATGATAAGGGCCATTATGGCCAAAACACAACCGACCGATATCAACAATAATGATTCAAACATATATCCTATTATTGAGAAGGTGTCTAGAACTCAATTGACTGTGACTCAGTCTCGGTCGAGTGACGTCAGTGTAGTTGTTTTGCTAAGAGCGGCACGGCTAGATGCTGCAATCGGCGACTAAAAGTGTCGCAACAACTTTGCAAGCAAGGACATCTAACGCTGCATCCGATATGACTAAATGCTACAACCGTCAATGGCGGATGTTGCGACCGGTGAGACGGCATGCCACGATTGACGAGGGCAGATGTTATGACCGTGAGACAAAATGCTGCGAGATCCATTGGACGGTGCACAGTCTAGCACGAATCTCCATGCAAAATTTAACGGTTGAGCAGTGGGCCAATTTTAGCAAGCCTCTTATTGAAAAGCCATCCAAACAGGTTGAATAAAAACGGTGCAGCCATCTCCCTTTGGCTCTGCACCTAGTACGGTGGACGACCACACCTCTGTGCCTCCCCGAGTTACGACGGAATACAAACAATTCAATTCAATAGATGGTCACGAGCGAATTAAAAGGGAAATACTAAAAAAAGTGGCATGCCCAGAGTTGACGCAAGCACTCCTCCGGAGAGTGATTGGTAAGGGCCTCAGAGTACCAACCGTGGCTAATTCCCAAGAGCTCCTGGGACGATGGCCGCGGTGCACCGAAGGTTGTGCTCATGGTGGTGCACGGTGCGGCGATGGGAAGCGATGACGACACATGAGGATTAAGGCGGCTACATGGGAGCACTTGGCGCCGGAATGCAGATTTTTTTAGACGCATCCCGGTCGCGTTATCGTGTGCGTTGGTTCAGAGGACTGGTTCTCCAGATGTGCCATGACCCTTTGCAATTATGCAGCGTCATTACATGCTATGGTACGTTTGTTTCTTTCCTCAGTTAAGGCTATGGTACTGTATGCTCTCTCTCTTTCTCCCCCTCTCAACTTTCACATGCACTTCTCTCATGGAACACGGGCACAACAGACTTTTGTGTCTCCTCTCTCTCACAACCTCTCTCACACGGAGAAGGATAGCCTCTCTCTCTTTCCAAGACTCTCACTACCGCTCTCTCATGGAACACGGGGGCTATCGTTTTCCTCTAGCATTAATAGAATTCATTGGTGTTAAGAAAAACCTCTTGTGGGAAGGTTGGCTAGAGATTTCTTGGAAAGGGAGCTCAGACACGGTCGCGAGAATTCTTCTTGTTCCCGGTCAATGAAATTCCTGAATTCAAGTACCTCGACTTTCCTATATTGATAGTGAACGAAAAGATGAACCCTACAGAAAATAACATGGGTGTTTTGTACTGTATCGAACCTCCCCACATGGTAGCGATCCAGCTAAAGATTTTGATTCCTGTGGTCTTTTGTTTACGAGATATATGGAATTCCTTATTTATATCCCATGCAAAAGAAGAGATTCCAAGGCAAAGGCGAGAACAATAAAATTAAAATTTCTTCTTTTTCGATTCACAATCCACTGCCTTGATCAACTCGGCTACATCTGCCCCTTATCCAGCTAAAGGATTTTTGTTCCTTTTTCCATTGATCATTATTCTATTTATTCTGACCTCCGTACTTCAATCTGCTCAAACCGGAACTGCTAGACGAACGAATTTTCAATAGCACAACTTGGGCTCCAAGGCTGGTCAGCAAGGAAATTGGCAGGAACCAACCTTAGTTGCCCCTCGGTAGAGTGAGTCTACTTAGCGAATTGGCAGGTATTTTTTAGTTTGAAAAATATTCTGTAAAAATTGAAAGGATAATAAGAAAAATCCAAAAAAGGAATTCCTTCTAATTCTAAATTAGAGAAAGAGGGGTTTTATACCTTATACATTTAATAAACACGTATAGATACTGACATAGCAAACGGTTAATCACAGAACTCATATTATATTATTGTAACCATATACATATAAAATGACAGAAATGCAATCCCAATCCCCTGCTTTTATTTGTAAAGTCTCTATTCCTTAGTGACCAAAGCCCAAAGATCTATGTACCACCTTGTGGAGGATATGGTTTGGATGGGGTCTCGCTTGGACGTTGGGGAGATCCATAGATCTGGATAGAGTCTTTCTTGCTCAGTAAAGAAGAGTACACAATTGCCCGCAAAAAAAAAAAGAAGAGTACACAACGAGTGATTATACCAATACTAAGAAACAACTAGCGGTATTGATACAACCGCAATAAGATAGTGAGCGAAGACAGTGCAGGTGTCGCGGACTTATTCTCAACGGAAAAAGTGCTCTCTAAACCGAACGTGAAAGTTGTTTTCCATCAGACAGATGTTCACGTAACTCCACTCTTGGCGTGGATTATATATCCATTTACTCTTATTCCGGCGTGGATCCCGCTGAAGCATCTAGTTTCTGGTCATTTCCAAATCATGTCTTTCTCACAAGATAGAAAGCTCTTTTAGGTCCACTCTCCCCTTCCCAGGGATACGCCCTCCTCAAACAAAGGGTTCCTGAATAAGAAGGACGGCAACCTTCGCTCTTAAGTTAAGAAGAGGTTTCCCCTAGTTGGGGAGACGGAGAAGAAAACCGGTAGGAAGGTGATCTGAAGTCTAGTGTTAAAAGAGATAGTTGCTCGGTTATTTTCTCTCTCTTCTCTCACACAACAAGGCGAATGCACACACTCTCTCATGCCATTTCTCTCCTGCCATTTCTCCTTTCTCTCCCACACAACTCTATCTCAAGAAAAGAAAAGGCTCTCTCTCTCTCGTCACCTTTCTCATCACTCTCCCTTAGGCCAACTCCAGCGTGCGACCCTATCCTGTCCGGGTGCGTCCGTTTGGGGTAGAACAAATGAATAGCGCGACCCAACGCGCGGCCCCAAATGGACAAATATTCGGATTTCGTCCATTTTCGACCCATCCCCGGCACAAACTTGCGGCGAGTTTGGGGTGAAACGGACATCGCGCGGACGGGCTCGACGCACGCCCTTGTCCCTCTGTGGCCCGCCTGTCGGGGACACTAGCAGTCCCTTCGCTTCCAACGCGTCCACCCCCTCCCCCGCCCCACCCCGCCGCCGGCGCCGCCACTATTCTCCGGTTGCCTCCTTACTGCGCACCCCCTGGCCGTCCATACAAAACCATGTCTCGACATGGCCGCCACCACGCTCGCGCTTTTGCCGTAGTTTTGGCCGTCGATTGGAGGAGATTTGGCCGTCGCCGTCGTAGCCGGTGGCAGAGGGGATACGACCGCCGACAACGTACCACGACGGCCATGACAGCTTCCGACGAGTGCCCCAGAGCGGCCAGTAGCCGGCCGCCAGCCACCCCTGCTGCATCGAGGTGATCATCGCGGCCTCTTTGCCACCACGACCACAAGGTGTTCGACACTTTTCCCACAAAGCTATGGACAGTGGAGATGAATTTTTCTTCCACCACTTCATTTATTCATCGGACGATTTGTCATCGGATGATGAAGATCTTGTGGTGGCTGCACTGGTCGTTCACGATCACATTGAACAAGAGCTTCCTCGGTACAGGGGGTCACTCCCTGGCCGTGCTCCCAACCTGAACCACAACAGGGAGAAAGGCCACACTGTGATAGCCTGGTTTTTGCCCTTTTCTCTTTGCCTGATTTTCAGTTGGTTTGAATTTGAAACTTGGAGTTTTGAATCTTTTCATATGGACTTAAACACTTGGGTACCCCTTGGCTTTCACCCAAGTGCCTCATTTCCCTCTCTAACCCTCATTCCTCTCCGGTTCATCTCAAAATTATATTTGAATATTTTTCTTTACTAAAAAATATTCATTTCCCTCTCTTAAACCCTAGCAGCTCAATGTGCTCCAAAGAAACCCCAATTTTTCTTGCCCACAAAAATCTAAGAAAATTCACAAATATTCTTTGAACCCTAGGGCACCTTCCTGAGCAAAAATATTTCATCACTTTTTGGAATATTTTGGCTACAAAAAATATTTTCTGTTCTGGACAGAAATGGTAGTTTCTACAGCAACTATCATTTTACTTGCTCCATTGTGGCTGATTTTTCTTGTGCATCATCACCTTAGTAGATGATTGCTAACCTCCAAAGCCCAGCCCCCAACTCCCAGTAGTTTGACCACAGTAAGCTCTCAAAGTTACTATCCAGAAACTTACCAGGTGTGTGAAATCTTTTCTACTGCACCTGAGACCAAACCCAAGCGTGGTAACCTTCAAAACTACCATGAACAACAAGCAAGACATGAAGTTTGGGCTTAGGTCGGCCTGAGGTCAGAGTTCACGCGGTGACCGCGTTCGTCCTGGCGTGCAGGCATGCAGCCGACGCGCTCTGAGTGCCGCCCGAGCTTCTGTTTCGCGCGTGCTCAATTCCCCGCTTGCCTAAGCTTGCCAAACTGTGCC